GGTTTTCCCTGACAACATGCTGTTGCTTACACACAGAATCTGTGCAATCTGAGAATCAGGGGACAGATTTACTGCTGAATTCCAGTCAGGGGTCCAAAATCTTTTTCTTCTGATAGGTCTAATCTGAGCACAACCAAGACACCCAACAGGAAGGACTTCTAACAAAACACAAGGATAGTGACTTTTCTTCTAAAACAAGGGAATTCTTTTTCATAGTAACAAAGTTTCCAGAATACCCACTGTGAAGATAGGAGTTCAGTTTCTTCCTTAACCTGTAGAAGGTCAAGCCCCCATCTTCAAAATTCCCCAAACTGCATTTTGAGCAGCAGGCTATAAGGCAGTTTGGAGCAAAGGCACTTCTTTCTTTGTTAGGACGCTCCACAAGTTTTATCCAAATACCCTTTTACATAAAATTCATGTGAGTCTTTGACCCAGGGACTATATAACTAAGATCCCTCATTCCAGGTAAGCGCCTGGATCACAAGGCTGCAACACACCCTTTCTTGTACATTAAGTCCTTCTCTTTTAACCAGTCCTCCCCAGGCAATCTGTGAGTGTTTCATGAAAAGACCAGAAGTTACAAAAAGAGGAGGAGAGCATCCAGGTTTATTTATCAGCCCTAAGTATTCTCCATCCTCAGCACTCCAACCATTATTGCTTGGCGGGCAGCAACATCTCCTACTCCCACAGCCTTTTCATCATGGAAGGAAAGAAAAAAGCTGCTCAGTTCTTTTGAAAAAAATATCTGAATTTGTTCAGAAGATGGTTTTAAGCTGTGAATGGGAAATGACAGAAGGGCATTTGTGCTGCCTGTAATCAGACACAATAAACCCAAGAAAGGAGAAGCATTCAGGATTTTTCTTCATGCTTTGCATTTTGGTTGCTAACTAAAGGGACCTTTAGGATGCTACTCTGAAGGAGCTAACTCTCCTAAATGCCTTTTATGAGGAATTTAGGGTCCTACCCAAGCTTCTGGAGTTCACTCTCAGGATCAGGTTCATTAAATGTAATAAGTTTTATGTACCAGGTGCTCTAAAAAAATTGGCCCTTGGTGACTAATGTAACATATCACATGAAATCAGTAGCAGAGCAATTAAAAGATCCCAAGTTTCCTGAACCTGGTTGTGCTCCTCACAGCAACAGTGGATGAAATTTATGAAAAAGACTCATCATTCTCTGTAATAGTTACAACCAAATCAGCAGCCAGTGACAAAATTAAATTAAAAGATCCAGACCTTGTCAGCTCCTTGTTCTTACAAAAGGAAATTCATATGGTAATATGCAGTCTAACTCCTATGTGGATAGAAACTGCATATACAAAGATTCATGTTAACATCTAGAACAGAAGGAAGGTCTTTTTAGACATTATAAATATCAGCACTCATCACTATATGCAAGTAGATAATTAGGGTAATTATTCCCAATTAGCAGCTGCAAGCCCTGCAGATGGGAATTTCAGGGGCTGGTAACTATTGTAAGAAAGCATTTCTGCAAGCTGCAAAGCCCGTTTCATGTTTTGGAAAATATACATTTAATGACCCTCACACATGCTGATAAATATTTTTGTTAATATTTCAAAATAAAAATCTTTCCTGCAGTAGTACAATACTTCTGCTTTTCTTTAAAGCTATGTTTGGGTCTCAGATGGTCTGGATTTGGAAAGATTTTTCCAAGTATTTAACCTATCAGCTAAACTAACTGATGAACCAGGCTGAGTCGGGACTCAAATTTTGCTTCTATTCTCAGTCCATGAGGAAAAACAATGTCAAGGGCCCTTTTGTTGGCCTTTGAAGACAGCAAAAGGACTCCAGCTGTTTTCCTAGGCTCTGCATGAAACCTGAGAGAACACTGTCAAATTTGCTTGCCAGGCTCCAGAAGCATTTTCCCTGTGTTCATTGTATTCTGCTCCTTTGGATGGCTCAAGGGTAAAAACTAGACATATTTTAATTGTGAATGTGATTTTTCAACCATAAATGCTTCTGTGATAGTCAATGAGTTACTCTGATTAGAAAAGGATTCTTAGTGCATTTTGTACATCACAGGCACAAATGGAGTAGTACTTCTTCAGTTTTTAGCTTTTATGTGAATTCATTTAACTTATGAATTCAGGAAGCAAAAGAAATGTAATCAACAGCAGTAGTAAGGCACATAACTGTAAGATTTGTCCTTGTGAAGCTCCTTATCACAGTGAAGAAACTTAATTTGTAGATACTTTAATGTAAAAAATCAGTCATTTCTATCTTTTAAAGTAAGATTTCTACTTCAATCAACAAATAAGCCAGTGTTTACTCATTTAAATCCAGTCCTTATCTAGTTATTTGAAAATGGAATTTCAGACAAAAAAAAAGTTGAGAAACTAATCATTACTTGCATTTGACTAAGTAAAAGGTTATTGATCAATGTCTTTTAAAACTTTCTATTTAGTTATCTTTGAGCTAAAATGAAGGAAAGAAATTTCAAGCCAAAATAATTATTCGATGAAAAACTTTTGAGTTTTCTGAAAAAAAGAATATTAAGACTGAACATAATAATTCAGCTTTAGTATAGAAAATTGACCAGTATAGATTGCAGGAGGCCCATGTGTGCTGGGTTTGTGTGTGTGGTGGGGTTTTGATAGTGGGGGAGGGTGCTACAGAGATGGTTCCTATGAGAAGCTTCTCAAAGCTCCCCCAGCTCCAAGTCAGACCCACCTCTGGCCAGGGCCGAGCCAAATAGAGATGGTGGCTGCGGCTCTGTGGTAACATATTTATGAAGGGGAAAACCTGGAGCAGGGAGAGGAGTGAGATGTGAGACAGACCTATGCAGACACCAAGGTCCGTGAAGAAGGGGGGAGGTACACTGGAGCAGAGACTCCCCTGCAGCCCGTGGTGAGGGGGCAGGCTGTCCCCCTGCAGCCCGTGGAGGTCCCCGGTGGAGCAGATGCCCACCTGCAGCCTCTGGAGGACGCCACGCTGGAGCAGGTGGCTGTGCCCAAAGAAGGCCGGGACTCTGAGGGGAGCCCCCACTGGAGCAGTCTGTTGCTGCGAGGACTGCAGCCTGAGGCACAGACCCACGCCAGAGCAGTTCATGAACTGCAGCCCGTGGGAAGGACTCACATCAGAGAAAGTCTGTGGAGGATGGTCTCCTGTGAGAGAGGGATCCTACACTGGAGCAGGGGAAGAGTGCGAGGAGTCCTCCCCCTGAGGAGGAAGGAGCAGCAGAAACAACATGTGATGAACTGGCCACAACCCCCATCACCATTCTGCTGTGCCACTGGGGAAGGGGTTAGAGAAATTGGGAGCAAAGTTGAGCCTGGGTTGAAGGGAGGGGTGAGGGGGAAGGCATTTTTAAGATGTGGTTGTATTTCTCACTGTCCTGTTCTGTTTGATTGATAAATTAGTAGTGGTGGTGGTGTTCGAATTAAATTGATGTCTTTTTTTTCCAAAGCTGAGTCTGTCTTTTGTCCTTGACCATAATTAGTGAATGAGCCCTCCCTGTCCTTGTCTTAACCCCTGAGCCTTTTGTTTTTTCTCCTCCTCATGCCGCCGGGGATCTGTGTGATCTGTTTCATTCTTCTTATCTGGTTTCACCTTTAGTCTCCCTTTCTTCTGTCCTGATCTTGCTTCTTTAATTTAATACCTCTATGTTTACTTGTTCACGCCCTTTTAAAACTTCCCCCTTAATCCCTTTTTAGGACTCAGAGCACTAAGTCTGTTCACCTGGTTTGTTGCTAATTCACGTATCTTGAAAGGGCAGTAAAGATGACAGGCAGATCTTACTAGTTACTTAAATCCGATCTCCAAGACTGCTGAAACCAGTGGGAGTATTTCCTTCAGCTCTGCAGTGAACTGTCTATAGAAAGTCTCAAATATGACTTGAAAGTCTTTATTAGACATCTTGCTTTCCAGAAACTCCTTAACATATGTTTAACTGGAATTTCAGATTTATAGCATATTGGTAAATAATGCCATTGTACAGTTTAATGTATATGAAGTCATTATGTTGATCAAGAATTTGATGCTGCCAAGTGCATCAGCCCCAGTTCACTGATGTACTCTGTCACATCCTTCTTTTTAACCATGAGTCATTATAATGGATTTCAGAGAGTTGCTTATATCCTTTAAATTAAGTAAATGCTTAAGTGTGTTTCTGGATTAGGACCAGAGGACTCGGCACCTTGGAAAATTAAACAAAAAGCAGAGAATGAGCAATACTGTCAGAGACAGGCTTACTGAATTTATCCATAAATCTTAAAAGAAGGCTGATTTCTCTGCCAATTTGTGGTGCAGAGAGATACCCGTCCACCAGCTGTGGATTATCTGACTACCAATCTTACTGTTTCAAAAACCATATCAACTGCAACAAAGCAGCCTCAGTGAATTGTATTAATAATTAATCATATCAGGCTATGTTACTGATATGTTACAACATCTATGAATTATTTTTTAGTTCCTAAATAAGAAAAAGACAAATTGTCACATTTACTTTTTTTTTTTTTTTACAGAAGTTTGCCCTAAATCAGAATCCTATCCATTTATGCCAAAATCACACTTTAGTTTAGCTTAAATACGTCATTCACCTTCCTGAAAAGCAGCCAAAGCCCCCGATAAGGAGAGTTCGTAAGACTCTGAAGTGCTCAGCTTTCAGTTCTAAATCTGAGACACCTCATCAACTTCCTGTTTATCAGCTGAAAATCTGTGTGCAAACTTTTAAGAGGTTAAACTAAGCTTCTTCCTGTAATTTAGGGCATATCTACAAATAGATATTGCAGCTCAGTTTACAAACCATGACTTGATTGTGCCTTAGGTTCCAACATTTATAAACTGAAAATTTCCAATCTTGAAGTTGGAATTAAATTGCCAAATCATTTGAGGACCTTAGAAATTTCTTTCTAAGTTATCTGTTTCTGAAGAATAAAAAAAAATCATTACTTGCCTATAAAATTAAAAATTGAAGGAAATATTTAAGTGTATGAAAAGAATAATGCACACTTCACGTGTGTGATTTATGGTCTCCATTAGGTACCTCAGGATGAATGGGGAGGATACCCAGCTGGTGGGAAAGATGAAGAGATCCCCTGCAGAAGAATGAGAAGTGGGAGCTATATAAAGGCCATGGGAGATGAAGAAAGTGGAGACTCTGATACTAGCCCCAAGACATCACCAAAATTAACGGTTCGACCAGAGTCATTATTAAAATCCATTGGACAGAGACCACTGGGAGATCATCAAAAGTAAGTTTCGCTATACCACGTTATACACCTTTCTGAAAGTTGCCATGACTTGGGTAATTTTTCTTTGTGTCCTACTGGTAGTGGTCAGTATCCATGAGAAAATATAATACTGTAGTTAAAAAGATAACTTTTGAGTCTTCGTTTCTTGTGATTACTGCATGAAAAACTACCATCTTCCTCCATCCATGTAACAAACCTGCTACTTCAGAAGGAGTTTGTTATGTTTACTGAAACAATTATAGCCATATTTTTATCAAAAGTTTAAAATTCTGAATATTTTTTCTCTGGAAGAATTGACTGATATTAGAAGTCTTTGTTATTTCATTGCTTTCTCTGAAATAGAAAATACACTCTGTACTAGGTGTAATAACAAATACATAATTGTATCCTATATTTGGCATCTTACACCTTTTTTATCAGTACAATGCTTTATGTATCAGTTGTACTGTATGATACTCATTTAAACACATTGTGGAGGGGTTTGTTTGACTGGGTTTTTTTTCCATTCATACTACCTACAATATGACCTATTAAATAATTAAGGCAAATTTTAAAACTATAGTAAAATGTGAAGTTATATAAGTTTTCCAATAGATTTTTTTTCTCCATTTTATCTTTTCAATCATTTTATATCTAAATTGTAAGTATAATTCTGAATATAGTTTCAAAGTGGTAGCCTGATTTAAAATCTGCACCTTCAGTTAATGAGACTGGGTGTTTCTCATATCTTAGAAAATCGACCTTTTTGCCTGGAGTAATACATAAAATGAAGAAATTAAGAGTGAAACCTTTGATCAAAGGTTGATTATTCTTCTGTAGGTTAATACCATGTACAGTATACCATAGTGACTCACCTTTTCATAAAATAAAACAAAACAAAAACCTTAGGCAAAAATCCTTTTGGCTTAATTAAATTGAATTATTTGGCTTGTGATCTGGAAGAAAACCATCAACTTTCAGTATTACTGAAGAGAACATTTTACAACTCTGTTGTTTCATATAGCTTGCTCATGCATCTCAGTAGGCTCAATTCAGATGCACAAAGGCATCTGTACCATGAGTTGCTATAAAGATTTGAGATACCATGAAATAAGACTGGTAGGTGTCTGGTCTCAATTGGCGACTAAAACCCAGGCAGGATACCTAATGGCATCTCAAAGAGTGTCAGAGACCTATATTTAGGTAACTGAGCCAAATTCTGAATGTGAATCTGTAGGATTTGCTAGAATATTAGTTCCAATGATGAAAACATGGCCTATAACGTAAGTATTGCTGGAAAACCTGTACCTGGCTGATTTCTAAAGATGTAAAGATGAGCTCTTAATGACAGTGGTTGGAAGCAACATTTGAATTTTTTATACCCTCAGTCATTGTATGTGGGCTGAATTTTGGGTTTGAGTCGTGCTGGCTACATTGACTGGTTCAATTCAAATTTGTGAAAGTTCATGGGAAACAAAAAAGGTGGTTAATTTTCAGCTTGTGAGTATGTGTCAGAGGGAACAGAGGTCTTTCAGGATGAAGTGCTTGTAATTTCTCAGCCATGTGGAGACATATGTTGTGAATTCTTCAGTCCTGGATTTTCTCCTAAATGTCTCTGAAAGCTGTGGGTGTTGCAAAAGGGCAATTATCCTTGTGGGATAAGATGTGCTAAGGGAGAGTGATCTAGTGTCTGTGGTTTGCTAAGAGTGACCCTTCTGAAGGCAACAGGGAAAGAGGAGACAGTCGTCTTTCTCAGACTTCTACACATTGCCTGGCTGTCTTCCTGCTGGTAAATGAAACATTTCCAGAACACATTCCTGAGTACAGACACCTGACAGTGTACACTGAGAAAGTTTTGGAGTGGTAGACTTGTCACTTGGGTCTATTAGCACTGTCCCAGTCACTGCCTGGCCAAGTTCTGGGCACTGGTGTAGACCAGGGATCATTCCCAGGAAGCAGTTTGTATGCAGCCATCCTGCTTTGGAGGATATGTCAGATCCATTGTAGTACCATAAACTAAAATCTTTTCTCAGAGACAGTTCCAATTTTCCAAGTACTTAGACCAAACAAAATATATTCTATTCTGGTTTTTGTTTTCAAATATGGTTGGGCCTCCCACAAGTGAATGTAGATAATGGCACAAATTTTCCAGTGAGCAGCAAGTCTCAGTGCCTTGTCTAGACCCCTACAGCTTATAAACAGATCCAGACAATGTCTAGACATACATATGTATTCAAACAAATAATGTTTCAAGAAAAAAAAGTCTTTCTGATCTGTTAAATCCTGAAGGCAGATGCTTATTAGTAGGTCAACGCCAAATGTTGTGTCTTCTGTCAGTTTTCCATGTATTGAAAATACACTGCTCAAAATGTAATTGATTAAAACACAAGTGAGATGCTGATGCAGTATACTGGGGTTGACAGCTCTGCCTGTTCATGGTCCCAAAGGATTTAATGGCATAGTTACCACTAACTGCAGTGGGAAAAGGAGGAAGCATTTTGTAATACTGTGAAATATTATTAGGGGCTCTGTTGAGAATTTGTCGCAAACACTGCACTAGGAATAATTGAGCAGCCAGGCTACGGCTGACAGATATCTTTTAAATCCTCAGTTTTCCCTTAAACTGAGGGGCAGCACCTTGAATCTGCCAGCCTAACATACATGGTTTTTTCCGGTGAACTTCAGGCAGAAATGTGACAACTATTCTGGCTGTATGTCTTTCTTGCAAAAATCTGTAAATTTCAGCAGTCCTAAAGTAGACAGAAAATTTCTTGTCTCACAAGAATACAAAGTGCTGATCCTAAAACTGGAGTTTCACCACAAGCCATCTCCTCCCAGTACGTGTCTGTCTCCCTGTCACTCTGGTTACCTTTTCTGTCTGGCAGATTGCTATGAAGGATATAGCAAGGGATGATGGTTATGGAACCTTCCTTCCTCCTCCAGCACAGCTCAGTAATCCCCACTGCATACTGAGTACCTTTTGTACCACCGATCATGCTGCTGAGCCAGAAGCCAGGGTTTGAGCAGCATTCCTGCGTGTGTAGCAGGGCTGAATAGCATCTCTGGCATGTATTATGAGAAATTACGTAATTTGAGATGTCAGCTGCATTAGCTGGCTTTTTAGCTTGTTTACCAGGATGGAGGCAGCTAATGCACAGAAATAAAATGGGGTTTATGCTCTCTACGTCCTCCATTTGGGTGACAGAATAGCTCAGAACTGGGGTTTGACAGAGCACCAGTAAACCTGTAATAAAACCTGAATATTGATAGTTTTGGTGTAAAAACATGCACTAGCTGCAAAACAAACCGTATGTAGGTGGGTTTCATAAGAGTAAACCTAGATTGCTATCACCGTCCCGAATAGGATAAAAATAAAAATTAGAAAAGCCTTCACTTAACCTTCAACAGACTTCTGACATCTGTGCATGTTTCTCCTCTGAGTTTTATTTGCAAGGAGGTTTTTTTTTTCCATTTAAATTCTTTTTCTGCCTTGATAAAAGGTAAACCCCTATTTTGTCAGTTTGTGTTGCTCAAAGACTCAGCAAATTGAACATTAAAAATTCACAAACAATAAAAATGCATATTTGTATCTGAATAAATTATTTTAACAACATACAAATAGGTAAATGTAACTGATTTAAAAGAAGCATTAGAATTCTGAAATAGTTTCTTTTAAGTTATTCTTGGAAAGGAGTATATTTTACTCCAAGTGGGAATAAAAAAAGAAGTGCAGGGTCTGCCAGTGCTGGTTTAGGCAGATGGCAGAAGCAGGGCATATTCCCAACCACTGCCATCTGATCACCACCTCTGTCCAAGTGCCAGCACGGCCGGGGTGATCCCCAGCCCACTTCCCACCTAGGCACCTGGCTCTCCTCAAGATAGTGCCCAGGCCTGTTTCAGGGATTAACCCTGTTGGACACAGCCACCCTCTCTATAGGGTAAGAAACCGTACAGGTCAGTTGGCTGAAGGGTCAGGTAATGGGCCTAGCTTGTTTCGAAGTATAGCCTAAGTGACTCAAATTTTGCTGGATTTTTCAAAAATTAAATGCACCTAAATATCTACATTACTTACTGAAGATAAATGCATTTCAATTCTTTCATTGTGAATGCTGTTTCAAAACTAAATAGTATGTTGCACTACTTAGTCCTATAACATCAAGTTGAAAGCCAGCATAATTTATTATTATTATGAAATTGCATTTGAGTGAAATATAATGCAATCAGGCTTGCTGTGGTGGAGACAGGACACATACTGAATCTGTTTTCTTTCCAACTTTTTGCTTTCTTGGAACAGTGCCAGCAATACCATTTATTGTGGAAATTATCTTGACTCCCAGGAGAAAAAATAGAAAACTTTTTTAAATTATTTTTTTATTTGGCATTTTGATTAGACATACAAAATCTTTCAGATGTCAGTTTTAGTATCCTATGAACAAATACAGGGATTCTGGAGGTGAAATGCAAGCCCTTTCAATTCAGTCCATTGTTTTCTTCTGTACTGTGATGCTACAGGGGATGGAGTTGAGCTATGTTGGAAGGTAGTTTGCAGAAGGTAGCTTGTAGAAGGTAGGCAACTTGCTGCTAGGTATTTTCATTTACAGTAAAGGTCAAAACAGCTGAACCATTTATGGAACTTGAAACAAAGGGAATGTCTGTCCTAAATAAGTTTTGTGCAATCCTGGAAGAGAGACTGACCCATATGATTTGTAAGGGTATCCTTCCAATCTAGTAAATGTCATTTCTCCGTATTTGTGACAAAAACAAGCAAAGCTGGTAGATGGAAGCATCAAAGACAGTGGGATCCAGAAAGGAAAGCTGAAAAGAAAACAAGACTATGTGATGGAAAATCAATTCTGTGACTGAAGAAAATGTTCCAGTTATTTGGTGTTTCTTGTTTTCAGGAAAAGAGTACTTAATATACTGATTATGTAAATGAACAGGATAGCACTGTAGAAATAGCAAGTTCCATTTTCAGTATCTCCTTTTTGAAGTGTTGGGAAAGACTCTGAAAAGGGAAAGAC